AACGTGTTGATGTTCCAGCCACAGTTCCATCTAATTATTTATTTATTTATTTATTCCTCTAACTTATTTGTCCCCTTTCTGCAGTTGTTTACGGATTCCTCAGTAATGAAGTCGGATATTCGGGGGGGCCCTGCTGCCTTTTAAATACAAAGTTGACCCTGAATTTGTCTCTTTGTCTTTTTTCTCCCTCCTAGGGATGGGGATGGAAACCCGGTTCTATAAAGGACCCGGTTCCACTTTTTTCAAAACCCGAAAATCAACACTGTTTGGGCTTATCGATACCACTATCGAGTCTGGTCGTTTTTTTAAATTATTACAATAGTAATTGTGAAATCCGTGTTGTAATCGGCAGCATACAAGCTAGTTAGCTTGAAAAGTAAATAAAGTTTCAGACGTGTGTTCAGATTGGCTCAGTAAAACGACAATTAGGTTATCATGATGCGTTCAAGTGTAACGTAAAGAAAAGGGAAATTGAGTTTTTGGCGAGAAACATGAGTAATACAGTTGTATATTGCTCTAATTATTTTAGAATATATAATTAAACTACTGATGCCAACATTTATTAAAAATTACATTTAATTTAAAATACAATGATTTATTTGCTAAATATTGTTGCATCGTCTTTCCACCAAATAACAGAAAAGTATGGATAGTGGTATCGATAAAGACTCGGATCGATAAGGAGTATCGATATCAATAAATATTAACGATCCCCATCCCTACTCCCTCCATATGTCGCCATCTCATCCAAACTCGGCTTAAACTGGTTGAAGAACATTTGAATTTGAAGAAAAACACGAACCACACAGACAAAACGTCCACTCCTTTAAATATTTTATTTCTCACTTCTGGTCGATAACTTTCAGGTTCCGGGGTTCTGGATCTACGGGACCCACTTCCGCAGTTTGACCAGGAACGCTGAGGACAGAAAACCCCCCGTGAGCTCCGAGCAACATAAATAAACAACAAATAAAATGTTCAACTGGATACCGATACTCAGGAAAATATCCGATACCATATTTGATACCACAAGAATAAAAACAAAGACCCCTAAACTTAACTGGATTTTGACAGGTTAGTGTCTTTGGTTTCTAACTGACCTGTTACTGATGTTATGGTGGCCCACAATGTTATTATTAGCCATTAGCCGCAGCTAGCAGTTCAAGGCTAACGTCACGTTAATGATCATAAACAACGTAAATAAATAAATCAGAGAGAAGCGTTTAAGAATGAACAGGTTTAAGAATGAGTATCGTATCCAGGATAACGTTTTAGTATCTATACTTTTTGGAGTATCGATACTTTAGACCAGTGTTTTTCAACCTTTTTTGAGCCAAGGTACATTTTTTCATAGAAAAAATGTACCTAGGCACACCACCAACCAAAAACGTCAAACAAATCTGTATCCGCCTATAGTAACACTATAGTTATTCTTATCTTAAGTGTCTTGAATAGGAATCAAATAAACACAAAAAATTATTTT